AAGATAATTAAACGGTAGAGATAATATAGAAATATAGAAATATAGAAATACAAGGAAGAATAAGAAGAATAAGATCATTTAATAGTTAATATTGATCGACCTAGTGGACACCAATTCGAGCCGATCATCTAGATCCCTTTTAATTTTTTTTTTTCCTCTGGGTAAATATGGTATGCCGCTAAGAGAGAGAGAGAGAGCCCTGGAGAAGTTACAGTTCTGGATCCATTCCAAATCTCCCCTCTTACATTCTTCGCGTCAATTTCCCCAGTCACTCGTTTCTTTTTTGATTTCCTTCTCAACCGACTTTGCAGCCTATTGCTTCCTATTTCTCTCATGCTGTGATCTGTCAATCCCCGCTAAATACGTTGATTGGTCTTGGATCCGGACCATTCACGGTACACGACTTGAGCTTGGCATTCCTTGCGCCTCTTCTCTTCAGGAGACATTTCTCTCCCTGACCCTCAAATCTGCACTCGTCGCACTTGAAGGTCATGCCGCTCATTTCATTCTCGGGATAAGGATATCCATTGCGTCACTTTGGAAGGCATTGAGCCAAACCGAGACACTGATCAACCCTTAAGCAACTACTACACACTCATTGAATTTATCGATATCGACATTCGTTCCACCCAGAGTTAGATATTACCGAATCACCTTCACTCCTTGCCTATTACGAGGTGTCCCCTGAGCGCCTCGACCCTACCACCCCATGATGAATCGATTCCGCAAACACAAGAAGGCGAAGGAGCCCGCGGAGGAGCCCGAAGCGACATCACCAGGATTCAGTCTGAAACCATCGAAGAAGAAGGTCGTAGAGGAACCCAAACCGGATTTCGACCTATCAGCCGCACTGCCCCCGACAGACAACTTCCGCACCAGTCTCCTGATGCCTAAATTGTCCGCTCGATTTAGCATGCTGAAGGAACAGGACGACCCACTTTCAATGCTGGGCAAGGCTAGTGATGACAGCGTTTTGTTTCCCAAGCGCGCTTCCCGACTTAATTTGTTCGGCCACAGCCCTGCCATGCTGGCAGACATCGACGAAGTTTGCTCCAATGAAGGTAGCCGACCATCCCTTGCACTCGACCGCGGTTCTTTCGCTTCCGGTGGGGATGGCTATGGTACAGACGATGACCGATCCCAGGCGGGCAGTATGATGAGCAGAGCCCGTCGCGCCGAGGGAAATAATCTGTTTGGAGGTCGCCAAAAGATTTACAAGATCCCGGTCAGATCGCCAGGAGCAACAACCCCCGATGCGCCAGAAGCTGCTCTCCGGGGAATGGGAAAGCCGGTCTATGACCACGATATGAATCTATCCGCTTTCCAGCGGTTGCGACTTAAGGAGAAGGAAGAGAGAACGGCGGAGGCCGCCCGGGAATCTGGTTATGCCGCCTCGACTGCGTCATCCAACAGCCGAGCCACATACTCTTCCACCGCATCTGGGCCTCTGTCAACAGTTCCAACATCAACTGGAGCAACCTCGACCGATGAGTCACCAATGACCACATCCCAATCCCCAGTGACTGGTTATCCATTCCCGGAAACCCTTCCTGAGGCCTCTCGGCCCGGTCCTGCCCCCATGTCTGCCCCGCGCAATGGTTCGATTCGCACCCGTCGTCTCTACGGACAAGGATTGACCCAGACTGCTCAGAGCCAGCAGAGCTCGACCTTGAACCGTCTGGAAAGTCTGAGTCGCCAGCGTGCTGGAACTCCAGATCTTCCTTCTCTGAATCGCAACTACTCCAAAAGTGCCACCAACCTGCGGGATCGCCTGCAAAAGCTTGCAATTGTCGAGCCGGCTTCTACCTCACGGCCAACTAGCCCTCCTTCATCCGCAACATCACCGAAGCCCCGCATGTCCGGAGAAGCCGCAGTCAGAGACCGTCTCTCGCCAACGGCAGCAACATTTGGGGCTCCTCCCTTGAGCCCGCCCACAAGCGAGAACGATGAGGTCCCCTCGCTGTTGGCTGCATCCATTCATCCAGAAGATCACGGAAAGGCTACCGCCATGGGCCTATTCAACCGACCTGCCACTGGTTTCGATGAGCAGGCATTCTCCCGCCGCCAGCTCCAAATGCACCAGGGACGAGAGACCCCGCCTCCGCGTCGTGCATCTCCCCCGCGACGACCTCTACCCGCGGAACCCGTGGGGCGTGCTCGTGGACTATCCAAGTCCAGCTATCGCTCCCGGGCAGAGTCCGCCTCATCTCACTATAGTAGTGATGCGCACCGCGGCATTGATCAATCCGGTGTATCTAGCGTTGAGGCTTCTCCCTTCAGGCCTGGAGTGAGGACTTTCTATGCCAACTCATCTGCTAGCGAGTCTGGCGATGAAGGGGAGAACCCTTCTTCACACGAACTCTCATCTGCCACTTCATTGACCACCGAGTACGGCCCGCCGCTTCAGAACTCTAGCATAGCATCTAGCAAGCCATCGACTCCCACGAAGGATCATCTCGAGACGCTTCCCGAAGTGAGATACTCCGATCTAGGTGATCTTAGACCTATCGCCGAGAACGACCTTGACTGCATAACTGCTCCTCCCGGCACCAGCGATAACACACCCAAGAGACCTGACTCGCCAACCCTGCAGCCAGATCAAGGCTTTACTGGAGTGGGGGGACTGATTAGATCTCACCTGCGCCAGGAAAGTGACAAATCCTCCATCTTCCCTCCTCCTTCGCCTCGTTTCCCGCAGCAGCAGAATGATACAGAGCCCCCTAAGACCGAGACCCAGCAATCTACTGCCCAGCCACCGACTGCTGTTCCCGTGATAGCAGAACCTCGCGAAGAGAGTCGGCCATCGTCAACAACCCGCCCAGGAACCTCGAGCTCGCACTCTCCTTCTGGACATTCCGCAGAGGGCACGGGTTCTCGAAATAGCGAAGAGTCATCCGCACCTGGAACTGTCCCCGACACAGCTTCTGTATCGACTGGCCCGTCCTGGAGAGAGGAATTGGAACTTCATCATCGCCGCCACGGGAGCACTGAGACCCAAAAGGAGCGAGAGGAATTCGCTATGGAGCTGGCAGAGAGGCGTAGAAAGGTGCAGGAGAAGCTCCGAAGTGTTGCTGAAAGCGACAGCCGATCTAGCAGCCCCATCCCGGGCCGGTCAACTCCAGATTTGCCCCGGACTGGTAACGCATTTGCCATGTTGAAGCAAAAGTCTAATAAGCAGGCTAGCACAAAACCGGACCAAAAGAAATTGTTCGGTTATGCCGCCGGTAATGCGTCCACGCCTGCTCTCTCTTCAGATGACTCCTGGCGTGAAGAGGAGCGGCCCTCTTTCAACTTCGGCCGCCACTCCAACTCCAGCTCTCCCCATATTGGATCGGAGCGTTCGCTGAGGTCTCGTATGCCATCTCTCAGCCGCGACAACAGCTACGAAGATTCGCGCGAGTCTAGCCGCAGCCGTGGGCCCTCGCCTTTCCGAGACCAGAGAGATCGTGCAGGCTCGGATGCATCGGGCCGGTCCAAGAGTCGAACCAGACTTCGAGAACGGGATGACCTGCAAACTGTGGACGAGGGTTCAATCATTGCACATGACAACTTTGTTGCTCCCGAGGGCTACGAGCCTCCCATGCCTGCCTCCCGCCCTACGTCGAGTCGTCCATCCACCGAAATGTCTGACTCTATGCACTTCGACCGCACCCCCTCCGCCGCCTCGGGCAGACAACGCAGTACCAGCCGATCTGGTACACCAAGCTTCCAATATGAACGGCCATTCCAGTTCTCGCAGTCCAACACATCCTCGATCATCGGTGCTTCGCCCCGGCCCCCACCTGCCGCTCCGGCCTACTCGGCCAATGCCACTCCTCCGCTGAATGAAATGCCTACAGACAGCTCGTCTACATCCCTGGCTTCTTCATCTAGCAACTCGCAGATTCCCCAACGTGGTTTGGGAAATGGCTCCCTCCTGAAGCGCCCTGTGAACAAGAAGCAGATCTCCGAGCCTACCTTTGTCTCATCTACATCAAACGTGCCTCTGGTCGGTCTCCCACCCGGATCTGGGCTGCCTTCCCCTGGCAGCGCACCTCCAGTACCGCCGATGAACCCCCGCCGTCGCCGGGGAACTGCCACTCAAACCATCTTGGGTGCGTTCAAGAGCGACAAGAGCGACAAGGCTGACCTTTCACGGGTCGCTTCACCCGTTCCGAGTGCCGTGGACGAACACAGTGTCTTCCCGGATGAAGAAAAACGTCCGCGCTCCCGCAACCGTCTCCGCAAGACCTCGAGCGAGGGTGTTAACCTGAACGCGCGGGCGCGCCAGGCATCCGTAACGGGCACTCCGCCGGCTGTGCCTGAGCACCCGCCTCCTGCTATCCCCGTCGATGGAGGCATGTTCTAAACACAAAAACTTCCCTTCCCACTCTTTATACATTCACCTTGCCTTGACCTAGGCTCTCTCCCTTATTCCCTTCTTGTTTCATTTACCTAAATCTACTCTACCTACCACTCCCTCACATCCCCTTTCCGGGTCTTTTCTCTTCTCTGTCCCATCCTTCCTCTCTGGACTCTCTCTTATCATTTCTTGACGACTAGATACCACTTGGTGCATTTGAGCGTCTCATGTTACTTTCGATCTTTTCTTTTCTTTTTTTCTTTTGGTATCAATACTCTTGACTTGGATTTTCATCTTCCCATGTATGTATTATTTTTGTTCAATTTCAATAGATACACCACTCGCTATGCTTGCCTCTTATGGTCTTGTAGACAGCTCAAATTAGACGTAGGGTTTTCCCTCGTTGCATGTAGTTTCAGCTTTTACAAACTTGATATTCTTCATACTCCCAAACCAAGACCCCTTGGGCCCCTTTACGCCATGATGTATAGAAGACTGCCGACGTACTCATATACAGTCGACACTGGTTATGGTCGACTTCGAAGATTTACCATTGATAATCTACCCACCTCATATGTTGCACGTGCGTGAAAAGTATGTTAAATGGTATATAATTCCTTCATTTAATCTAGTATCATACATTTTCATTGCCATTCATTTATTCCCTCTCCACAGCCGTCTTGAGGTATCCCAGGACCCTCTCGACAAGGAACTTCCGCGGCTCAGCCTGGTCATCATTACTCAAAGCATGAGAAGCATTAGGAATAACACCAGTATGTTTCTCATCCCAGATCTGATATTTCCCATCATGATCAGTAGCCTTCTGCCACCTCGCCAGCATCTTTTCCTTATCAACATAATCCGGAATCGACTGATCCTTCCCAGAGATCAACACCATGAGCTTATGATTCAACAGTCCCTGCTGCTGAATCCTACCAAAGGTAGTCCCAAAGTGATCATCACTCAAATCCGAGCTGAACAAATCATCCTCCTGCGGCGCCTGCGGACTCTCAGGACTAACAAGACTCAAAAACCTCCGACAACTAATCGGGGTATTAGCCGGATAAATCATGGAAGTCAACGAAAGAGGCAACATAGTATCATGAGGTTTCCCCTCAGCAACGGCCTCCTTCGCTAACGCCTCCATCTCATCATAAACAGCCCGGGCCTTCTCCGGCGTCGTATCACCAATCCCCCACTTCAAGACGCAGAAAATCGCCTCGCGATCCGAAACAGGCGCTTGCATAATCGCGCCGTCCAGCACGGGCCGCGTGATGTGTTCGATATCAGCGTCGAAAGCGGGACGCTTCGTGTGCGGGTTCGACTGGGATAGGTAGTGCAGGACGCACTGACTACCTGTGGAATGGCCCATCAGGGCGATCTTGCCGCCGCCGAATTTATCGGCTTTGTAGCTCTTGATGTACTCCAGACATTGGGCGATCTCGTTCGTGTCACGGTCCAGATGGCCGAGACCCCAGGATTGGTAGGAGGATGTGAGGTTTAGTGTAAAGAGGGACCATTCTGATTGCTGTAGTGCGCGCGCGAGATCGGCCATGTAGGAGGTTGTTGCGAGGCCGTCGCCGAGTCCGCCGACGAAGAGGAGACTGTGTGGTTGGCGGACGGTGGTGGAGGCATATTCGAATGCGACGAGGGTTTCGGTCTGTATGTTTGATTAATTTGTTAGTTGTGATTCGAGGAATACTGATAGCTGTGCGGGAAACGTACGTAGTGGTGCAGAATACCGGGAAGACCTCCCTTAGGCCAGAACTTGGACATGTTGATGAATGTGAGGGGGTGTGTGTGTGTGTGTGTGTGTGTGGTGGGGGTAGTTTGTGTAGGTGTTTAATTGAAGGGGAAAACTTTCTAGGAGCTAGAGACGGCCTTCGGGATAAGGTCTTTTCTTTAATTTAATAAATTGCCGAAATCGGGCTTTGTGTCTTTCTGCCATGACGGAATGTGGACAATTCATATCGGTTGGTTTGAACCGAGTCACTCGATCCACAGGGTGAACTGTTTCAGGGCATCTTATCAATCTGATTATACCGCGTCAAGCCGAAATATTAGGTAACAAGTCTCACATCCATGGAATCCTTTTGCGCTAGGGTCGGAGGTATGGAGGGGCAGGACAGACTTTTCGAGAAAATTATATGGATGTCTTGAACCAGGTATTTCAGTATACCAGTTTAGGTAATACGGTGTATCGAAAACATGGAAGGTTTTATGTACATGTGTAAGGGTATGTATTGAATATTTTGGTGTGTATTTCGTCTTAACGGTAAATACAACAATGGGAGTCGTGTCTCGCCTAGTACAGCCAATAATTACACTAAGCTCAGTCGGAAATAAAGATAGGCCAATAAAACTTCGCCGTTGAGACTAAAGCTGTGGTACACCTGCAGGCTAGTCGGCACTAGCCGGTATAGGTAAGATCAACGGATCTGATTAGATTGATTGGCTGAAAACAGAAGAATCTGATTAGATTGCCCCTCTTTGAAAACTCTACATGCAGGAGTAAATCCGGCAACACCTGCATCTCAATACAAGACTTTTCTAAGATTCTAGGGAATCCTTGGTCAACTCAATAGTCAGCCTTACCCGGCTTCATATTCGAAGATCCCTGCCTGAAGAGGTCCTTATATCTGGACATTATGCAAAACCAAGACCAAAACATTGCTGCAACATCGCAACATTCATCAGACCAAAAAAGCAATAATATAACGGAGTGGATTGTTATTTTGTGGCGTTTGGAACAATCCATTTAAAGCTTTCTGCAAGCGAGCCAAGAAATCAAGTAAGGAACGTGCGCAACAAAGTGAGGCCTTTTTGGATGTTTTTTTATGGTTACACGCTCGTTGCGCCAGGGCCCAGGCGAATATTATTATTTAAAATTATCGGATGGGTGTATTCGGAGCTTTCTGTATTGGTACATATTGCGAAAAGTGTACACGACACACATGCGCGTGCATTCGATCTTGAAGGTGGGTCTCGGAATGACAAAATATCACAAGGCCCCCTCGTTCCTCCCATCCATCGTGCATTGGGCTTTTCCGCTTGAAGCGCACAATCATGGGTCCGCTGAGCAGCTGGCCTCCGAAACCTCGGGAAACAATTCCTTTCCAGGTTGGAGTAAGCCTTGATGTGTTTCAGAATAGGACGATCATGTTCACGATGCTTTCCTCACAGCCTACAACATGGATTCTTTGCATTTCTGTCTTGATGATGAGCAATAGCCTAACTGAAAATAGTCTTGGGGTAGCATTCTTTTTATTTCCTATTATTTCTCATTTTTCCCTTCTGTTTCTTTAATGTGGAGCCTGTGGATACTTTTTGTATTATACAGTATTGTATGTAGTTCTGAGGTCTGAAATCACATACACATACGGGTCCGAATCGCTTAGGAAAGATGAAACGGGCACATGCTCTGGCTTGGTATCATTTTGCCTTCCAGAACGGGGGGGCTGTATGTCGAATAATCCACCCCGCAATAGCCGATCTCGGTGATGATATGCAAAATACCTGCAGGGTACACACAGTAAGGATACTTCGGAGACTTCAAGCCTTGATGTGGAGCATGATGTCGCAGAACCGTGGCTAGTTGGCTATATAGTGACACGACCCGCGCAAAGGCTCCGGATTTAACAGTCAAGCTCCAATTCCTTCCTCACATCAATTTGAGGCTAATAAGACCAGCTGCGCTGGTCTGCCGTCATAATGGGCTTCATACCTCTTGAAGACGTCTATGTTCAAAATGCGCCAAATGGAATCGAGAAAGCGCCTACAGACACGAATGGCGACTTTAGCTCATTCCAAATCGCGCATCTTTCCTCTGAACAGATCACCACTCCGACCGGCATGAAGGAAGAGATTGTGCTGTTGTCATGGCTCGTGGTCTTGTTGCGCAGCCGGGAAGACAGTCAAATATCATACGACTGGTCCTACAAAGATTTCGCAAATGGCACTGAGCCAGAATCAGTGAACAAACTATTGATGAATGAAGTAATGAAAGGATTACAAAGTAATGTGGGAGAAGTTGCAACAGCAATCTCTCGGAGTATCCCCGCGGGAGCGTCGAGTCCCGCATCCCTCATTTTGAGCACCAGCTCTCTTTTGCGAACATCTGAAGAAGCCAAAGATGAAGTAAGTTCACAGTTAAAACCATAGCCACAGAATGATAACTAACTGTAATTGAAAAGGGTATGCTTCACCTCGAAGTTCGCTACAATAATGCCCACCTCGAGATCCGCCCATTGTGGCACACCGAGAACATGTTGCCGTACACAGTGAATCACCATGTCGAGGCACTTGCCGACACTGTCAGAGTATGCCTCACGAATCCCGAAGCGACCATTGAACAGTGCCTTCGCCCGACTGCATGTGACCTGAACGATATATGGGGATGGAACCACGAATTACCTCCCACATACAACTTTTGTATGCAAGATATGGTTGCCGAAAGAGCCCGCGAATACCCAGACAAAATTGCCATTGATTCCTGGGATGGTAGCCTGACCTATAGCCAAATTGATCAATGGTCCACTTCCGTGGCATGTTCGCTCAAAGAAATGGGCGTCGAGCTACACGATGTCCTCCCCGTGTGCTTTGAGAAGTCTAGGTGGACGATTGTGGCTGTACTCGGAGTGATGAAAGTAGGCGCAACCCTTGCACTCATGGATCCAACTCTTCCGCTTGCCCGTCTTCAGAACATGGCGGTGCAGGTCGGCGCAAAGGCGATGGTTTCGTCCCGCAAGCAGTACGAGCTGTCACTGACCATTATGCCAACTGGAAACCATTTTGTGGTTGAAGAAGATGCTTTCACGAATCCAGCAAACTCCCCATCAATCTCCGACTTACCCGTTGTACCATCCTCCGCCCTTATGTACATCATCTTCACCTCTGGCAGCACGGGAACCCCGAAGGGAGTCAAGATCTCCCACGAAACCTACACGAGCAGTGCCATTCCTCGAGCAAAGGCAGTTGGATACACGCCAGAGTCCAGGGTTCTCGATTTTGCATCCTACGCTTTCGATGTCAGCATTGACAGTATGCTTTTAACACTTGGAAACGGTGGCTGTCTTTGCATTCCATCCGATGAGGATCGACTGAATGATATCAACGAAGTTATCCGCACAATGCGAATCAACTATGCAGGTCTGACTCCCTCAGTGGGCCGAATTCTGGATGCGGATGTTATCGCATCGCTCAGTGGCCTCGGTCTTGGTGGTGAAGCGGTTTCGGCAAGAGACGCCAATCACTGGGGTAAAGAAACCAGAATCATCATCGGCTACGGTCCCTGCGAATGCACTATTGGATGCACAGTCAACGCCAGCGCTGCTACTGGCAGAGATTACCTTTCCATCGGCCCAGGCAATGGTGCAGCCATGTGGATTGCCAACCCGAATGACCACAACGAGCTTGTGCCAGTCGGCGCTGTAGGCGAGCTTCTCGTTGAGGGCCCAATTGTCGGACAGGGCTACCTGAATGACCCTGAGAAGACTGCTGCTGCTTTCATTAATGATCCACCTTGGCTGGTCGCAGGACACAAAGAATACGCTGGTCGTCAGGGTCGTCTGTACAAGACTGGAGATCTCGGAAGATATGACCCCGACGGTCTTGGCGGTATCGTTTTCGTTGGACGAAAGGATACTCAAGTCAAACTGCGTGGACAGCGTGTCGAACTGGGCGAAATAGAGAGTCAGTTAAAGGCTGTTCTGCCCTCGGAGGCTAACGTCATTGCTGAGGTGATTAAGCCCAAGGATTATGGAGGCCAGCCAATGCTCGTCGCGTTCGTTGCCTTCCAACCAAAGGGACACGGACAGGCCGAGCTTGCCTTGGACGAGATCTCAAGCGAGTTGAGCAGCGTGTTGACAAAGGCCAATGCCGACGTGGCGAAAACTCTGCCACGATACATGGTGCCAACCACATATATCCCGGTTAATCTTATGCCGGTGTTGATTTCAGGCAAGACAGATCGCAAACAACTCCGAGCATTTGGTGCGACAGTTGATTTGCGCCAGCTGGACCAAGGAGCCGCGAGCACTGCTTCTCGGGAACTGAATGAACTTGAAAAGCGTCTGCGACAGGCCTGGGCCGAGACCTTGAAACTCGAAGCTGAAGCCATTCGTCCTGATGACAACTTCTTTGCGCTGGGTGGTGACTCTTTGGCAGCGATGAGACTCGTATCTGTCTGCAGAGCGCAAGACCTTGATCTTTCTGTCATCAGCACTTTCGGAAACCCTACCCTGTCGGCTATGGCCACCGTCGTCCAGCCTTGCAGCTCTCAAGTACAGGAAGAGATCCCGGCATTCTCTTTGATCTCCCAATCTGTTGAGAGCGCCCGCCTCGAAGCAGCAGAAGCTTGTGGAGTGGATCAAGCAGATGTGCAAGATATCTACCTTTGCACACCCACACAAGAGTCATTATTCACCTTCTCGCTCAAATCGACAAAGGCGTACATTGCTCAGAGAGTCGCGTGTATTCCATCGCATATCAGCCTGGATGCTTGGAAGAAGGCTTGGGAAGATGTCGTTGCAGCAAGCCCTATCCTGCGATCTCGTCTGGCACCACTCCAAGACCCGGGTCTTCAGCAAATTGTTGTGAAGGAAGGTGTCGCCTGGAGATATTCCACTGACCTGGACCAGTATCTCGAGAATGACCGAAGCGAGAGGATGAACCTTGGACAAAGTCTAGCTCGATACGGCATTGTTAGCACTGCAAATGATGACAAGCGGTATATGGTCTGGACTGTCCACCACGTTCTCTACGACGGATGGTCAGAG